AATGAGCATAAAATTTGAATGGTTGTACAGGATTACATTTAAATTTCGTTGCTTTCATGAAATTATACTAAAAAAAAAATGTCTTTAGTGGATACCATTCCTTCGATAATTGTTGTAGCAGTTAGTAGTATATCATTAATTTTACAAACTATTCACAATCGAAAAAAGTATGATGAAATACCATCAGACGAGGTTCCTGATGATATAATCACTAGTGCGCGTTTTTCACCTGTAAAAAGAGATGTCGTTAAACTTGGGATTACGATACTGCAGGCTGGCTTGTTTACTTTCTTGTTCTGTTGGAGATTTAAACATGAAAATAATATAAATTATGATACTATAAGTACTGGAATTCTTGCAATTTGTTGGGTAAATCTATCATTTTTTTATTATTATTGTTCTTTATTGTCGATAATTATTATTTATAGCGTTTTCTTTGATCTAAAAGTTTTATGCCCTCACAATTTCAATTATTGCCTTATCATTGAAATCAAGACGTTGGAAATGGATATTAAATGCGTATTTGACTGCATTTTTTTTTTACTTCCTCTTTATGTTCATTTTGGCGACTTATAACTGCTATAAAATTAAGATCAAATGGTTCTTATCGTATAGACGAAATAATTGAACAGTTATCTATAATATGTAACTTTGTTTTCTCAGTAACAGCCACATCAATTGCTATCACAACTCCAATGGGTCCACCAATATTTCAAAATGGAAAAGCTGTTTGTTCAATTGAGTATTGTTCAATATGGGCATTTATCACTTATTCCTCTGTTTCTAAATTAGTTTTCAAAGCTTACAAACAAAAGACATTCAGTGATGATGAACTCGATTTACTTCCATTTGCTCTTCAAGCTAGATCTTTATATAATGCTTTTAAAACATCCAGAGGGAATAAACTTTTGTATCGGATATGGATCGCTAATAAACATGTCATAGCTTTACAACTTTTGTTCACAATGATGGGTGCTGCATTATATTATGCTCCAATAGGTTTCTTGTTCCTTTTTTTATCGTTTATTCAAACGAAACAAGAAGGTGAATCGTTGAAGCCCGGATTTTTATATCTATTTGGTCTGCTTATATCAAATATATTATTATATTTCATTGCTGCTCAGAATTGGTATTGGGCTGCAAGTGTACTTGAAGTAAGCATAAAGGGGATGCTTAATGCTGAAATCTATTCAAAAAGTTTAAGACGAATTGATTCTCATGTTTCCGTTGTAAAAGATGAAACTGATAAATCTGAGGGTAATTTAGATGATGATGATAGCGATTCATCCGTTGGCAAGATTACTAATCTTATGTCAATTGATTCAAATCGTATTAATGAATTCGCTATCTGGTGGACAAGCGCAATTGATAGTCCAATAGAATTAGCTGTTGGTGTTTATTTTTTGTATCAATTATTGGGTGTTTCTTGCTTGCTCGGTTTGTCAATTATGATTATTACACTTCCAATTAATCATAAAACGGCTAAGTTATATGCAAAAACCCAAGACAAACTTATGAGTGCCAGAGATCGTAAGTGGGGCTTATGAATGAAGTAAGTCCTTTAATGTCATATATTATCAATATTTATCCATATGTGTCTTTGTATGCTTATTCAGAGTCAAAATAAAAGGTTCTGCAAGGAATTCGCATGATAAAATTCTTTACCTGGGAAAAGAATTGGGAAAATAGAATTTTGGGTACATATTCCTTTTTTTGCGCATTATCTGTAAAACCTTGCTTACGTTGATAATCAATCTTTTCTTTTCTGCAGAGTCTCGCAAAATTGAGCTTAAACAACTTCGAAATAATTTTATTTATTTGGCCATATTTGATCTATTGTGGTCGGCTTCACCTATCTTGGTCACTATTCTTAGCTTTTTCTTTTATACCAAAATTCAAGGAAATGAGCTCACAGCAGCAGTTGCTTTTACTTCGATAGTCGTTTTCAATGAACTTCGATTTGCACTTAATGTTTTACCTGAAGTTTTTACTGAGGCACTTCAAACCCTGGTCAGCATACGTAGAATAGAAAACTTTCTAAATGAAGATGAGATCGATATTCCACCTGAAAATAATTATCCTCTTATTACATCGATCTCTTTTGAAAAAGCAACTGTTTCATGGAATAA